AATAACAATGAATATATCTCAAGCATGATAGTAGATGAACAGTCCTTGGAAAGATTAAGTTATCTAGAATGGCCTGATAGAATTTGTCTGGTATGGTCCACATAAAACATGATATAGGGACTATTTTTATTGCATGTGGATGCTATTGGTAACAAGCATCTGGGTTTCAGGCCACTAAAAACAAACTTGTGCTTAGATCAGAATGCAGAGTAGCATAAAACAACCAAGCTCCCTATCCAGATGCTTGGTTTTGGGTAGACCATTCATTCCCCTGTTATTTGTCCAGAATACTTTTAGAGCTCTTTAGAAACTGGTTGGTGATCCCTGCATTGCAAAAAGATTGGGAAGTCATGGCCTCTAAGTACCTGTTGTAGAGTGTGTCTAGAATGTAAATTGTATTAGCTACTTATCTATTGTGATAAAATATCCTAACAAAAGCACCTTAAAGAAGGAAGGTTTTATTTTAGCTTATACTTCCAAAGGAATAGACTCCATTACAGCATGGAGGTGTGGCAACAGGAGCAGGCTGTTACCTGATCATATTTTCATTCATGTTCAGAAAGCAGGAAAGCAGAACAAGAAAACGAGTGAGGCTATACAATCCTCAGACCTTGCCTTCAGTGTTACAGTGTCTCCATCAAGGCTCAACATCCTAAAGATTCCACAGCCTCCCCTAAAGCACTGCCATCATGTTCAAAAACATGAACTTCTGGGGAACATCTCTCATTCATACAACCACAAGGTGGTAATAGGTGGGCTATGAGTGCTAAACATTGTGACTATACTCAGCAGGGATTAAGTACTGAAACATTCATAAGAGGAGGAAAATCACCACCAAAGCAGTGTTGCTATTTAAATGGAAAGAAAAACTTTGGATGCAAAAGATAAATTCTCTTACCATCCAGCATGTGGTTAAAATTAGGATTTTGGCTTCCTGTGGGCTCTTATTTCATTCATTTATACAGCTGGGCACTTGTTTTGGCAATGTGTAGAGGATGTTGAAAGAAGCAGAAAGTAAGGGTTTTTTGTATTTTGTTTTTTATTAAATTGGATCATTTCAGAAAACTGTTATATCATAATGTGACAACTAAATCAACCTAAAAAACTTCAAGGAAATAGAGACATATTGCACATTTCTACCCACACGCATAAAATAAACCCAGTATGCCAAAGGAAGAACATGTGTGGGTATCTCTCTTCTTTGTTCTGTTTATTGAATGTGAAGGAAATTTGTGTGTTTAACACCATAAAACCCTCTGTTATAAACTATCTTCACTATTACTGTCTTTTATGGAGTGAGGTTTGTATGCACCCTTAACCTTGTTTTTATTGTTGCTAGTTTCGCCATCAGGAAAAAGAGAAGTCTGTCTAACTACCTGACTTAAAAAAATAAAGTAAGTAAAACAAGCCTTTCTCCTAGTGAAGAACAACAATCAGAACATTTGTCAATAACTACTATTTCCCTTTGGTGATTAGCATCTTTTATTACTTTTAGTACACAGCTATCAAGGCTCTTAACCACATATGTGTCAAGAGCACTTAATAAAACAGCTGTCTATAGTGGATTCAGGGGAGAACAGAAAGAGTTAATTCCTTCGGCTTTCACAGTGGAATAAAGTTAATAGGTTGCCAATAACGTGGGTTATAGTTTCGAAAGCTAAAGTTATAAGTAATCCTAAAGGGAAAGAGGAAAATTGTTCCTGACAAGCTGAAATTACTTTATAAAACCTCTTATGTGTTGAGAAGCCCTGAGTTGGTCAGGGCATGAAGCTTATTTCAATGTTTAACTCAGCCTGTTTCTAAAGCAAATATCTTGCCCAATATCCTTTTTCCTAAAGCACACCCTTTAACCCAGTATTTTTTGTTTCTTTTTCTTGTTGGCATGGAGACTAAGAATCGCTCCACCAGACTGATCAATGCATGGTTACATCAACATAACATTTTCAGTCAAGTTCCCAGGAGCCTTCCTCCTGAGTCTGTCATTCTGATTCAGATAACTAAATCAGGCTAAGCACAGTGATGATAAAGGGTGACTTGCCTCATTAGCTGGCTCCTGCTGTTCTTGCTTCCAGGAAGCTCTGTACTGACTGCAGTGGAGCCTGGGAGTGATCACTAACTTTCTCAAAAAAATAATAATTTTGATGTATTTTTCTAGTAATTCTCATCTTGCATTTTGACAGTAATTTTATAGAATGACATATGCACTAATCCATATGTGCAGATATTTCTTCTCTAAATATGTATCTTGTGATTGGTTTTATGAAGACTGAGCAGACAACGGTTTTCATCTAGGGGACTATTTAAAAATATCCTGCACATTTGTCATTTTCAAAACCTGTGTAAACTTTAATTAACAGTATTAGAAATATTACAATTATCTGTCTTCTAGCATGAAAGTAGAGTCAGCGACCAATGCTTCTTATAAAATAACATTTTCACCAGATCTGAGAATTTATTATGTGAAATAATACCTTTTAAAAATGAACAACTAATTTTCTGTCAAAATTTTTGATTCATGGGGGGAGAACAAGCAAGGGAGAAAACACAGAAAAACAAAAGATCCCATTTAGTCATCACAATCTGAATGGGAGACTCATGAAATTAGATATAATTATCCATGTGGCTGAAAGCTGCCTGTAGGAAAAATGAATGGGAACACACAATCGGAAGCAAAAGGAGCCGCAATTATACCATGATCAATGCTCCAACTGAGAGAATAGTAGCAAATTAAGAAGGGCTGCTCCAAATCAAACATTATTTTAGCAATATTATGACTTTTAATACAGCTCTCACTACTAGCGAAAAGCTAATCTTTAAAATGACGTCCACAACAACACTGTTTGATTCCAATACTTGCTGGCATCTTCCTCTTGACTGACAAAATTTCTCTAGAGGAAATATCTCCAACAGCTCCTCTTTCCATTTTAACAGCCCTACACCCATGCATGCCCTATTTGTAACACACCAGGCAGTGTTGAACATGTTTCATGAATGTAAATTTTCACTTCAATGGATAGAAATCTACAATAGGATTGTATGGCTACATCTGCTAAAATAATGGCTTAAGTTGTATTTGGGCACCATCTAAATGTAATGGAGCAGAGATATTTGAATAGTAATGAGTTTTTCCCTGATGTTCTGAAAACATCAAGTTAGTAAGCATGCATCCTCATATGTGGAACAGTAAGATGGTTTGAAGATGTTTTTCTTTTCAGTATTTAATAGTAATTTTCAACACAACTGCTCTGCCATCTCCTCCCAATCTTAGTCACCATTGCCTTCTTTACATATGTTAAGAGTTTATGATCAATTATAAGAGGTTTTCTCTTAAAATTATCCACACATTTCATCTTGGCTAAAAGAGTTATGTTCTTTTTGCTTGCTATGGGAACCTTTATTATTTATAAAACAATCTAGTGAAAGAAAACTAATAAAATATATGTCAAACTTCAGACAGATTTTAACCTAGTCTAGGCCATATTTTGTCTCACCAGAAGCTTGATTTTTAAATACTCAGATAATTAGCTTTGTTCTTTCTCTCACTGATGAGCAGATGTCTACAGTCTGTTTCCACTACAAAGACCAATCCATGGCATATGACCATGCCATGTTAGATGAAGATTATAGAAATTGTCAGTGAACCTTCTAGAATTTTCTCTGACTACTTCTGAACAGACTTATAGAGGACATTTTGTATAAGATATATTCTCACTGATATTGATAGCTCAATTCCTTTCACTTTCAATATTTTTCCAGTCTTTTATTACCTGGTTCAGTACTTTGTCAGGGCAGTGAACATGTTCTGACCTCAATTGTCAAGAACATCTCATTGCTAAATTGACCGATAGATTTTTACTTCTAGTCATATTTGAACTCCTAACTTCAGAATTGGCATGTGTCTTCATCTTTCTCAAAATACTTTCTCTGAGCTTATCAGATATCAGATTGTCTGTAACTATTGTTCTTTTCCTACTTCAATTCCATATCCATTTTGCTGATTCTAAGGTATGGATTTCTTCATAGTTTTGACCCTAGGTTTTCTGTCTATTCTTATTTTCTGTTCTTGAACAATCTTACCTGTTTTCATAGCTTAGTATATCTATGTGCAGGCAAGTTTATAAACTCAATCTAAGACCTTCCCCCACAGTTTTGGGGGAATAAATCTACTTGGATTGATGACACTCACACTACTGCTTTGAAAACTGTGACCAATTAAAATCCAGGTTGAGAGCAACATTTTTAAAAGTTTCTACTCTCCTAACACATTAAGTATGTTAGATGTTCATTAAGACCATAGTCATGCCATCAGACACTAGGCTCTTAAATTTAATTTTTAGCTAATTCCAAGTAACATTGAGATTATCCCTACAACACATTCACAAACAAACAAAATCTAATGAACAATTTAGGTTATCTTGAATTTAATGAAAACTAACTTTCAAAATGACAAAGCTTTGGGAAGATTTCACAAATCTAAGTTGCTAAAGCATTTCATCATGGCATATGAATTATGACACTTAAAATGATTTTTAAAAATAGGAATTGCAAATATCTAAAAAGATATACTCCCAAGACAAAGTTGCTATAATTCTTCAGTATTTGTCTGTATTTGACAAATCTAGAGCCAAAATCATGGGATTTTTCTTATGTGTTTGCTTTCCACAAGTGAGAAAATTAAAGATTCGGCGTTGAGTGTTCTCTTTGAAATTTTATATCTGTATATATTATTATATCTTAAGTCAAAATACATTTTATTTTATGTAATATAATCAAATTTATGAGGTGAATTTAATAAATACAAACAAAAGATTTTGTTTACACACAATTTGGAACTTCCCTATCTTAAAATCTTGCCAAATTATACAATGAATCTTATGTATACCAATTTTAGTACACCAATCTTAAATCCATTTTAGATAATCTCTGCCTCCTTAACCCAAGGAACTTTCCAAATGGTCATTTTATAATCTTATTCAGGGTCTTGTGTGGTATACTCTTACCTTTTAGCTCTTAAGTGAGAAAGCAGGATTTCTGTGGGAGGCATTTGCAAGCCCTCTTCCCCACACAGCCCTCGGCTGTTGATGATATAGTGCCTGGGAAAACATCAGATGCATCATGGTAAATAGAAATCATTTGCTGGAATCTTACCACACCTCAGGAATGCACCATCCTTTATATATGGATGGAAAGATGAGAGACAGACATGTAGATGGGAGATGGACAGATATTCAGCCAAAAAGCACCATTAGGATATTTTTATATCCATCTGTTTTAACTTGTTTTATATTTTCTCAGAATTAGACAATGAATGTGGATTTTAGAAGAGAAAATCAGAGACAGAGTAGCATTTACTTCACATATTACAACTGTGCAAACTATTACCTTGTTGTAGCACTGATTGTTGCTGGCTTTTTCTCCAGCCTAGAATTATAGTTTTCACCAAGTTTACCCACCATGTACTTCTTATTTTATTATTTTAACTGAATGTTTATATCGTGTGTGTGTGTGTGTGTGTGTGTGTGTGTGTGTGTGTGTGTGTGTATGTGTGTGTGTGTTTGTGTGTATGTTTGTGTGAAGTCATTGATTATGTCCTACATTTAAGACATAAACATAGAGAAACATACAAAATTACAACTAATTTATTTACTATGAAAGAAAGAATATTACTACTATGGTGGTCAAAAGACAAATCATAGGCCAATGAAATGGCTAAGTTGGTAAGGAAGTTTAGCTCTAAGCCTTGATGTCACATTTTCAATTCCCCCAAAAATACTATCACAGGAAAAGGGAACTGATTCCCACTGGTTGTCCACTGACATAATACACCCCCCATACACACACACCAGGGAGCATGCACAGGCACAAAAGCTGCATGGTAACACATCAAACAAAGCTTAAACACAAATAAATAAATATATAAATAAATAAATGCAGAAATAATTAAACAAATGATAAAATTGTTTAAAAAATCATTACCCATATTCTAGTGGGCTACTTCATTCCATCTCCCTGTTGCTCTCTGTAGCCTTTTCAGAAGATTACCACCTTAAGAAAATCACTATTTTCTCTCCCTTATATCTTAACATACAAGCATAAATAAATAAATAAATAAATAAATAAATAAATAAATAAATACTGGAGATCAATTTCAACTGATTTTATATAAATGGTATCATGGATACCACATTATAGCAAGTTTTAATTGTAAAGCATTTTTAGTTCACAGAAAAATAGTAAGTTGTTAGTGTATGATGCTGTTTAAAACTTGGTTGTATGTAATAAAGTATTTATCACAGCTAATCCATCAATATTATAAAAGTAATGTATTTATAATACTTCTTACTTTATGCTTTCATAATCATGCTTTCAGATATACAGAGCAGACTGTCATGTAATGTAGTTTGTTTATTTCAGTCTGGACTTACATTGGATCCAGTTCTCTTTTGTCTGCCTCTCAAGTATACCATGACTACACAAATGAGCTACCATGCCTTGCTCATGTGTGAAAGTTGATAAGACCAAGATGAAATAATTCATGTCAGACCCAGATAAAATTAACTGTGAAGTTAATACTAGGTGTTTACCTAAGATAGGAACTTTGTTAACGATTTTCTAATGTCCTAGAGTAACATTCTTTCAATACCTCTCATGTATGTATAGGTTTCTGTGAAAGGTTTACCCTTTTTCCCCATTTTTTACAGTTTTTGTTTCCATTTTACATTCCAACCACAGTTCTCCCTCCTACCCATCCTCCCACCTCCTCACCTCCTCCAACATCCACCCCCAGTCCTCTGCTCCTCAAAGGTAAGGGTTTCCATGAGAAGTCAACATAGTCTGGCACAATTTGTTGGGGCAGGGCTTGGTCCCTCTCTCATGCATTAAGATAGAGCATTTCAAAGAAGTATATGTGAAGAGAAAACTTATATAGCAATGCTATAGACATTTACGTGATAGGACCAATGCCAAACAGATTTCTAACAATCAGTATTATATCTTTTGTAATTTAGTCCCCTTTCGCTTTGAAAGGCTTCTTCATGGCTTCATCCCCAAGAATGTGACCAAAGTTTTCTACAACATAGGTGCTGCAATAGCAATTCTTTGTCATTCCAAAAACATATAATTAAACATTAGAGGATTTTTTCTCTGAACCTTAAGCAGAATACTGTATCATATTTAGTCACTGTCCCACCTTAAGCGCCATTGCTGGAAACCCTATTCTCAGACATTACTCATTGTAATTAAATCGAGAGTTTTGAAAACAGCAGGTATTTGACAATGCTTGCCTTAGTTTGAGTTTACCAGATGGCTTTCTCGTGATTATATGGGATAATAGTTTTAGCAAAGAAGTCCATAGAACAAAGACACAGTCATGTCACACCCTGTCAAGGGTACACAATGTTAAGATGACTTAAACTGATGATGTCTAGCCTGGTCACAAGGCCAAAGCAGGTTTGTCCAAAATCAAAGAGAAGTTATTCTTTTTATCCACTTAATTTCTTTAGAAATCTTACTGGAAAGGTGCCTCAGTGTTGCTCACAAAATTTAAGGACTTGTGAGCTATGCTGCATATCTGAAGGCATCGTGTCTACATTACATTGATTATTCGATATTTTATCATCAGATTTTCTGCTTACCAAACTATACATTAATTCATGTTTACTTATAAGCAGAATGGACTCATGGAAAAAAATTTTATACATTGTGGGGTAGTACTATACTGAGCTAATTGTTTTATTGCTAAAATTTGCCCAACATTGATCAATGTAGGTATCTTAAGTTGGTTTTCATGCCATTTTGTGTCCCCATGAGGTTTTGCATTGCTTTAAGATGAGCATGTCTTATCTTGAATCCTTTCTTATTCTGGTCTAAAGTCATCCTTTTATCAGAGAATCTTTGGTCTCCTTGATTAGTGCTGCTAAACTTTATTAGTGTCATCTTCATTTGGATTTATTCTAGTATTATCAATTTAGTATAGTTAACACTACATCAGTATGTCTTTACAGGTTCTGTTCTCTCATTTAAAGATTTCCTACAACAAAATTATAACTATGCTCCATATAACTAGAGTTATTCTTTGCTTTTTCATGTTTGATCTATTATCAAACACAATATGGTTTTTGTAATATTTGAAGTACACTTCAAATGTTCCCTCTCTTTATATGAAATCTGAAAACATAATAGAATTTATTAAAAAGCCCAAAATTTCCTTCCCATAGAACCACTTTGGTTAAAAAAATATATACACTTCACCAAGATTCTTATTTCACTAAATTTTTATATATTTTAAAAATATGAATTATTTCACATAGATTTAAAATCACATCTGGCATATCAGGTTTGCCAACTGTACTAATCAACGTGCATGACTTAGATATTGATTTTGTGTTTTTTCATTCAGTTTGAGAAGATAACAAAACAACAATAACATGTAAACTCTGAATCTCTTGGTGAGAATGCTGAAATGGATGAGAGTGAGGAAATTTCTCATACTTGCTTTCTTCATATTATATTTTATAGGTCCCCATTAATTATGATACCTTTAATTTCTGTTAATGATACTTCACATTTTTCTCTATATAGAAATAATAAAATTGTATCAGGCCTATTTACAAACGCTGATATTTGGCATGCTATTATTAATGGTATTATAAAAATTATTTTCTTGTTTTTCGTTTTAGTTGTAAATGTAAAAATTTAAAACTACTATGCTCATATGCCACACTTTGTAGAAACGCATTATTAATCTTAATAATGCATGTGCAGATCCTCTCAGAGTCCATGATTGCTTTTCTTCTTCATAGATGACAAATTATTTTTAATGCCTGTCTGGTGTTTATTTATTCTATTTATTTTCTTATTTATTGTATTTATAGAATACAAAATGACTTGTCATATTCTTCCTGATTTCAAAGGGAATGACTTCAACATTATATAACTCTGTAGAGAGTATAATGATTACCGTACATCAAAAATAATGATATCTGTTATTATGATTTGAATGTGAAATATTCCTGGTATGTTTGAACAATATTTTTATGGTAACTCATCATTGTGAAAATATCCCCTGCATTCAAAGAGAGTGAAAATTGTTCTGAACTTTACAGTCAGAGTTAATAGATATTGAGGTCACTTAAGACTTAAGATTGATACCCTAATTTATAATCACCCTGCTTGCTTAAACTGCCTTCAATGAAATGACAAAATTTCTTTGCCTTAGATTTTTTTCATGCAATCAAGTTTTACAACTAAATTAATGCACAAATATAATTTTAAAATATACTTTTATCTCTTTTCTTGACCCACAGATACATGTGTATCTGTGTGTATGCTGTCAGCAAATATAGTCATAAACAATTTTTAAAAATTAATAACTGCCATAAATTTCAAATGCAGCATGTTAACATTACTTAAAAGAATTGCTTTTTTTTCTAGTAGTGTCAGTCAATTCTTTTTATACTGTGTTAAAGATTTCTATAAAGTATCCCTGATACATTGCCATGTGATGATCTCTGCGATGGTCAATTAAAGAAAGAGCAAAGCCCTTTGGTGAGCCAAGGGCACACAGATGTCATAATGTTTACTATGATTCCTTAAATTTTCTTTAGTTTACTGAAACGCAAGTTCTAAGCATCATATTCTCATCTTTTGAAACAACCCAAAACATAATCTGTATAATTTAAACACCCCAAATTCTTTTAACATTGTTGATAAATAAATTAAATACATGAATGTGTATATTAGCAGGCCATTCATGTACAAAACATATAAAAACAGCTCAGAACACTTTATTAAGTCTCTTTGTCCATTGAAATGGATAATAACAATATCTGTACTTATAAGCATAAGCTGTCAATTGTAGAAATAATAGTGGACCAAGTATAATACATAGAGAGAGACAAAACTGTCCTAAAAGAAATACATAAAAGACTAAGTACATAGTTTTTCTGAAAATTAAAGCTCTATGTAAATTATCACAAGCATTTTACTTGTGATACTGGAGATAATATAAAGTAAAATATAGATCATGAAATAATACAATATAATCCTGGTATTTAGAAATGAATTTTTAAAAGACCCAGCAAATTGGAAAACA